ACCATACAAAGTTCCAGAACTCTACCAAAAAATTTCCAGAGATATGCAATATGAAAAATTCGGTTTGTATGGGAGATGCCACACCCCTTTTTCAATAGCTTAAATTTTTCTCCAAGGGTATGCGATTGATTTCGTATATCTCCATACCAAGTTCCAGAACTCTACCATGCACACTTTCAGAGATATTTAGCATGAGAAATTCGGTTTGTATGGGAAGTGCCACGCCCCCTTTACATATAGATTTTTTTTTAGCCTAAAACCATCCTTGGGACACGTGCGGCAGGTGGCAGTTTCAAAAAAATCGGTTCAGCCGAGCCTTATTAGTTAAGATTTATTATATATTATATTTATATTTTGACAGTATCCGTTGTTTCTGATTGTCGCAAAAAAATCTTCGCCCCTTGATATGGTCGTTGCTCAAAGCTATTTATATTCGAAATTGCATGAAAATTGGAAAACAGGAATCTATAAGCTTATCCAGGAAAAAAGCTACCTACGTACCTAATTTTAAGCAAATCGGACCGTAAATAAGATTTTTTCGAATAGATCGGTCCCTGGTTAACTTCCCGGAAAAAATGGATCATATATGCTAATATATGCTAAAAAGCTACCTACGTACCAAATTTTAAGCAAATCGGACCATAATAAAAGTTTTCGAGTAGATCGGTCCCTGGTCCAATTCTCAGGAAAAATTGGTCATATATGCTAATATATGCTAAAAAGCTACCTACCTACCGAATTTTAAGCAAATAGGACCGTAAATACGATTTTTTCGAATAGATCGTTCCCTGGACCACTTCCCGGAAAAAATGGATCATATATACTAATATATGCTAAAAAGCTACTTACGTACCAAATTTTAAGCAAATCGGACCATAATTAGATTTTTTCGAATAGACCGTTCCCTGGTCCACCTACCCGAAAAAAGTAAATTTTTTTTAGCCGAAAACATGGTGGTTACCAAAAGCTATTTATGTACAAAATTTCATGAAAATCGGACCAGCCGTTCACGAGATTACCTGTTACAAAAATAAGGGACTTCTCTATATAATTAGTAATAGATAATCAAAATTCCGAATAAGTTAAGTTACTTAATTACATCCCTCATTTAACAAACATTATAACCAAAAAAATAACTATTTATGTAATACACACAAATATATACTGCTTTAATAAACCCAGAGCATAACTTTTTATCTTGTGCTTTTTTACAAAATAGTATAAATTATTTTATTACATGGGACTCTGTAAATGGACCTTGCGCCGAATTCCCAACACGAAACTTACTTAAAGTACAATTATATCACAAAACATTTTAATTCAGACTTC